AACACCTTTAAAGTTTATAGGCTTTTTGGATTATTAACTTTTTTAAAATAATTGATAATTAATAATTAATATTTAATAACTGATAATAGTTAATATTTATAATTTAAAATATCTAATTTATTTAATTAAAATTAACTACTAATAATTATTTTTAAATGATTAAAATAAATCCCCCTTATGGTGTTTGGATGCTTAGATGGGATCGTTGAAAAGCGTCGACAACTTCAACAGCAGCAGTCGGAACGTCATATTTGTAGAAATTAAGAAGTCTACTTCACAGGGCTCCTCTCTTCGACTTTTGAACAGCGATCTTACGGAGTCTGGACCACTTGATGAGAAGGATATATAACTTATCCCACGTTTTCGTGTGTTGTTAATGTTACACACAAATTTATTATAATCACATATTTAGTTTTTTTTTTTTAAATGTAAACAATTAATTATGATGATTAAAAATGTCAATTTGTAGATTAATATTAATTTATTAATTATTAAATATTAAATATTAATTATTTATTAACAATTAAACTAAATAAAAGTAATATTTTTAAATACAATATTAGTAAATTTGTATGATTATAATCATACTCCGTTATTCTCCACAATTGTAGTAACTGTACTTGCAGTCACCACAACAGTAATTTTTGCTTTCTCAACTTCTCATTAGAGTCTCTTCCGCAAGTATCATACGTGGTGAATAGAAGCTAAATCTAAAAAAGAGATAAATGAAAAATTGACCATTGATTTTCGTGAGGAGAGCCCTATATTAAACGAATCTTCTCGCCTCGATCAGTAATATTTATACTTATGTAATTTATATTAATTTAGATTATAAAACATTTTATAAACATATATATATATATATATCAAATAATAACACCAATAGTAAATAGGTGCTTGCACCTAATCATCACTATGTCAATTATATATTATATTAGTAGTCGAAATGTCATAAGCAGTAGTACTTTATATTTTGTAATATATTTTGAACCATTAATTAAACTTAAAAATCAACATAAAATAGATAAACTTAAAAATCAACACGAACAACTACTAATTTTATATAAAACACGTGAGGAGACTGGGTCACTCATTATTCATCTTCTTGATATAAGAGATAAATAATGAGGTGGTGTTATAGAGATAATATTTTTATCTCATTTTTTTATACAACTTTTACATCAGTGGCGGAACCAGGGGGTGCGAGGTGCGGCGCTCGCCCCCCTGAAATTTGAGAATCTTGCAAATTAGTATAAGAAAAATTATCTAGCCCCCCCTGAATTTTGAAAATTTTAGTATTTTGTCCCCCTAAAAAAAATTTCTGCCTCCGCCCCTGTTTTACATGTTATTAAGTGAGTGGATACATTCAATATTACAAATCTTATATAAATTAAAAGAACTAATAATTTTAATAACACGTCAAATTGTATAAAAAAATAAGATAAAATAATTGTTTCAATAGCATTTTCTTAAATAATGTTCGATTTTATTCATTAAAAAAATTAATAATAATGTTCAATTTTCAAATAGATAAGGCAAGAGATAACATTTTTTCTTTTTAATTTAGCGGATCATAGCGTACGTCGTCAAGTATATATAGTACTAGTTGTAAAGATTATTAAGCATGCTGTACAAATTTTGACCAAGTTAATCATTCAAACCTTTTCAATTATTGTTTTGTTGAAAGTTAAAAGGTAGTAATTAGGTTAGAAATATGGGGACCAAATTCAGATTATTAGCAAAGAAATCAAGGGTAACATTGAATGGCCTCCAAATCGTAAGAGAATGCATTAGCTCAAAAGTTGCCATCAAATCTTTGAAGACTATAAGTTAGTAAAGTTTTTTTTATTTTAAGTTGTACAACAAAAAATAACACTTTTTATTTTTTTTAATATATGAAACTATATATTATGTGATTCAAAATTTTTAAGAAAATTATTATTAAGTTATTTATTAAGTAATTGACTACTAATTATTAAAGTCATTGATAAGACCAAAAACTACATTTGATTTAGTCAAGAGGCCCGGGAGTGTAAACTACTAGTTATTGAAGTTGATTGATATAATTGAGAGAAACCTCAGAAGAGGAATTGAAGAGATAAATAAATAAATAAATGAAAATATCTTGGTTAATTTTTAGGGTACGTTGACAAAAGGGCTGAGATGTCCCCTAGTTTTACTTTGTGGACTAACTAGGCGAAGATCTTTGTCGAGGGAGTTTTCAAGGTATGTGCGTGTATGATTTTTCATGTTAGACCATTCTGTCTCTGTTAATTAATGTGACATTTTTTTGACTATTTCTTTTGAAGTTAGTTTATTGGATAAGTCAGTCTTAGTCACATTTCTGTGGTCGCAAAATCACCATTTGCTTAGCTCTTGTCGACAATGATTTTGAAGCCATAGTAAATATCATGCGTAATTACCTATGGTTAATTTGTCTATGAATATTTATGATACTACTACACGATGCAAATTACTATAAAATAAGTTTTAGTGAATTGTATGACTGAATCTTTGACTTTAATTAAACTTGGGTTAAAGTTGAATTTTAGATTATTACTGCCACATTTAAATCACGATAACACAAGAATTCAATTAGTCAGACTTGTTAAGTTCAAACCTTCTTCTAAGCTCTAACAAATGAGGATGATTGTGAAAATTAATGAGAAGGAAAAAAACAATGATTTGTGGATATTTGTTGCATAGAAAAGTAAAAATTAAGACATTTTAGTATGAAAAAATTATTAGAACTTTTAGTTTCAACCACATGATAGATAAATTTTAAGTGAGATTCATATTATATTTCATTCATTTTGTGATTATGATTGGACATTCTAGTATTTTAAATGTTAACATATTTTGTTTTTCTGCAACCTCTTTTTTGTAATTAAAAGAAAATCAACAAGATAGGGTTGAGGTGAAAATTATCCTTTTTTTGGTGGTGCATTCCTTTCTTTAGCATGCCATATTTACTAGATCAATTATTTCAACATAAATTATCCCTTTTTTGGTGGAGCATTCCTTTCTTTAGCAGGCCACATTTACTAGATCAATTATTCAACA